GGGGGGGGGGAAATGGGTCATTTCCTGATTCACCCTGAGAATCTATATTTAATCCTTACCAGGGGAGGAAGTGAAAACTGCTAGGTGTTTCCCTTCCCAACCCATACACATACAAAAACTAAAGAAAACAAAGATATAGCCATGTTAGTCTGAAATATCAGTATGCAAAGGAATCTTGCAGCAACTTTGAGACTAAGGACCTTTACAGACTGCCAGAAATAATGCAGCTTGAGGCCACTTTAACTATCCTGGCTCAGTGCTAGGGAATCATGGGAATTATATTCTTTCTGACACATTGAGCCTTCTCTGTCAGAGAGCTCTGGTGCCAAAATAAACTACAGTTCCCATGATTCCTTAGCACTGAGCCAGGACAGTTAAAGTGGCCTCAAGCTGCATTATTTCTGGCAGTCTGTAAAGGCCTTAACTGAGCAAAAGACATAGCAACTACACCTTTTTTTTCACTAGGGGGAGAACATCTATACTGGCCCTTAATCTGAAGCATTACTCTCCAGAATTGCCCCGAAATTGACATAGGTGAAACATATCCAGACAGGCAACCAGGCAACACCGAATTGCCCTCATTGGCTTGTCCCTCTCAGTGCTGCTGATACTGTGGCCTCACCAACCAAGCAGGAAGCCCCTAGCTGTTGCTTCTCCTGAGATCAGAATGGGGCACCCATGTGATCAATGAGGAAGGAATAAAGTTCCCTTCCTTGTTGACCACATACTGGGGAGCTCTTTTCTCAGTAGAAACAATGGCAATGACCAAATTCTCTCAGGGAGCTGCATGGCTGGCAAAGCCACAGTGGCAGTCGTGGCATTGAGGGGGACAGGCCAGCAGGGACCATGAGTGTGTAGATGCATAGACAACTGGGCTACTCTGGATCCAGCCCAATTCAGCTGTCCTCATATCCAGCACAAATGGATTAACTCCAGAGTTTCCTGTTAAACCAGATTAACATTTTTAAAAAGAGGATTTGCTGTGTATGTTGTGAGGACTGACAGCACCAGATACAGGGTGAGTCCTGGGGTTTTGACCAGTATAGACAACACCCCAGTTAGTTTCAAAGATACTACAAGATCCCTTTGCATAAAAAAAAAACACCACAAGTCCACCAAAGCACCCAATGAGGACCAGAGATGCTCAGTGGGAAGGAATATGGACTGACTCAGGGGTGACGGTGGTTGTGGGAGAGAAGATCACAGAAACAAATTATAGGAATCTTGAACACAGATTCTCCTTTATGTACTTACACTTCCATCTTGTCACAAATCCTTGCTGGCTTGCCATATTTACACCCCTAATTAAACCAAGATTGGCTCTCACAGCAGTTTTCATTTCAAACCCACATAAGAGACTAATGTCATTAAGGGCTCCTTGCTACTCCCATAGTCCAAAAAATTGGGGCATATTAAAGAAGAGACAAGAAGAGACTTGCCCCTTTCATCCTCACCTACTGCACTGGATTCTCTGTCCCTGCCCAGCATCATCTGCTTGGTCTCAGAAGGGCACATCTCCATATCAGCCATCTCCACCACAAACAAGTCCTGCACCAGAAGAAGAAGCAAGTATGACAAAAGACAGAGAAAAACTACAAAAAGCACAGAAGAGGACAAAACCTGGGTGGACAATCCCCACTTTGGGTTATAATCAGAAAAAAACCTGTGTACATAGTAGTTCTAAAACAGACTAGAAAGGAAATTTCCAGCCTTTGAAACAACCAAAAAGCATTCCCACCTGTTGTTCTTTTTTCTTCTGCTTCTCCTCTGCCTGGCTCAAAAGGAAACCCTCAGCCAGGGCCACTGCCTGGGAACTGGTCTCTGCGCCACACTCTCGGACCCAGCTCTCCATCTCTGGTGGAAGGACAGCCAAGAATTGTTCCAGGATCACCAGGTCCAGCATCTGACCCATTGTGTGCATTTCTGGCTTCAGCCATTGGCGGCAGAGATTGTGAAGTTGACTGCAAACCCTTCTGGGCCCGCTGGCCTCCTCATAGCGGAACTGTCTGAAGCGCTGGCGCTGTACATCTGAGCTGAGCATATCCTCTCCCAGGCACTTCTGTGTGGTTCTTTCCCAGAATGCTCCGCTGCCCTCAGCTTGAACAAGAGGCAGACCTTTTCTTAATCTGGGCCCAGAGGTGTCCTGTTTGACTGAAGCTCCCATTCAGATTCCAGAAAGACTAAGAAGCTTTTTCTCTTTTGCCAGGCAAGGCAAAAGACCGGAAGAACTGCAGAAGAATGACTGCCCTACAAAGCAAAGAAGATGTTTGTTAAGGGAAGATGTTTAGGGAGCTCTTACAAACCATTTCATGTACTTTGGAGATGTTTTACAATCCAGTGCAAGTATGTAGAAAGATCTTGTAGCACCTTTAAGACTAAGGGCCTGAACAGACGGCCAGAAATAATCTAGCTTGAGACCACTTTAATTGCCCTGATTCAGTGCTAGGGAATCACAGGAACTATAGTTTACTGTGGCACCAGAGCTCTCTGACAGAGAAGGCTCAATGTCTCAGAAAAAAAAACAATTCCCATGACTCCCTAGCACTAACCCTAACCCTTAAAGTGGACTCAATTTGCACTATTTCTGGCAGTCTGCAAAGGCCATTAGTCTCAAAGGTGCTACAAGATCTCTCTACATACTGATTCTACAGACTAACATGGCTATATCTTTGCAAGATGGTATTGTCTTGAACACAGCTCTCTTCTTCAAAAGAAGGGAAGAACATCTTTGAAGCTTCCACCTTTGGCTCCTACTAACTGAAGCAACTCCTTCACTATGCCTGAGGGTGGTGATATCCCTGCCTGTCTTTAAAACTTCATGAATAGCACCACTACTAAGAGTCAGCATGGTATCATGGTTTGAGTGTTGGACTATGACTCTGAAGACAAGGGTTCGATTCCCAATTCAGCCATGAAACCCACTGGGTGACCTTAGGCAAGTCACATTCTCTCAGCCTCAGAGGTTGTTTTTTCAGGTTACAAAGCCTTAGAACCCCCAGGTGTTTGGGGTTTTTTGTTTGTTTGTTTTTTGTTTTGTTTTGGTTTTTGTTTTTGTTTTTTTTGTAAAGAGGGAAGAAATTTTATGCTACAAATTCTTTCATAGAGTCTCAGTGATGCTACAAGACTCCATGGCAATTTGTTGTTGTGCACCCTTGAGTTGTTTCTGAATTATGGCAACCCTAAGGTAGACTTATCATGGGTTTCCATGTCCAAGGAGGGAATTGGACCCTCATCTCCAGAGTCCTAGTCCAACACTCAAACCACTACCCCATGCTGGTTGGTCCTTTGCAACAAGGAGGATACAAAAGGAAGCCAGGTAGTGCCATGAATTTTGTCAAACCCACTGGAGAAAAGGAGCCCTGGTGGCACAGTGGTTAAACGCTGTTATTGCAGCCACAAGGTTGTGAGTTCGTTCATAAAGAGGGCTCTAAGGTTGACTCAGCCTTCCATACTTTTGTAGGTCAGTAAAATCAGTACCCAGATTGTTGGGGCAATTGGCGTACACATTGTAAACTGCTTAGGGAGTGCTGAGTGCACCATGAAATGGTACAGAAATGTACACTCGTCCATCCACATTTGCAACTTTGACTTTTGCGGCTTGGATTATTCACAGATTTTATTAATATGTTCTCTCTAGGAATCTCTAGGTCCTCCAGGGCAACTCCATGGTCAACTTTAACCCAAAGTTGCACTGAAGGACCTAGAGATTCCTAGAGAGAACACTCCACTAGTCATTTGTAGCTCCTCCAGTGCAATTATGGTCAATGTCTGGCAGATGTTGGCCACAGAGTTGCATTGGAGGACCTAGAGATTCCTAGAGAGGTGTTCCCTCAGGTAAAATAATAAAAGTTTTTATTGTTTGCTGTTTTCCACATTCACGGGGGTCCTGTGCCCCTAACCCCAGCAAATGTGGAGGGACGAGTGTAAATGTAAATTTTCAAATGTAATAGTTTTTTGTAGTTTTTTTCAGGCTGTGTGCCCATGATCTAGAAGAGTTTCTTTCTGACGTTTCGCCAGCATCTGTGGCTGGCATCACACAGCCTGAAAGCCTTTGACTTCACATTTCAAATGTAAATTGCTATTGCTATAGAAAAGGTAGGATAGGATCATAGTAACATCAAAGAAAAAATCTAGGGCAGGGGTCCCCTTTAAGGGCCGAGGGACTTCAGCTCCCAGAACCCCAGGAGCTATTGGCCAACATGGGACTATTGGCCATCATGGCTGAGGCTTCTGGGAGCTGTAGTCCCTCGGCCCTTAAAGGGGAAAGGTTGCCTACCCCTGATCTAAGGCGTCTGAGGAAGGGGACCTAGAGCTCTTGCTTATTTCCCTCTGCACTGGCTTCATTCCTCCTCCATCGACCCCCCAACTTCCCCTCCAGCCAAAGGCACAGAAGTGGAGGGAAGGCAGACTGACCAGAGCCCTCCAGCTGGGAGGGACCAAGGCTCCCCTCCTTCTTCCTCCAAGCCCACAGAAGGGGGGCCGAGCAGAGAGTGTGGGTCAGCAGCGCCCAGCTCTTTCTTCAGGGCCCTCCAGCTGGGAGGCAACTTCTGCTTGACAGCCCTTCTTCCGGGTTCCCCTTGGGGCCGTTCTAGGAATACCCATGCGCATGCGCACAGACACTTCCGGAAGGGGTGGTGCATAATGCGCAAGAGTGACAGCCGTCCAGGCAGAAGGCAGGTCAGTTCCTGGCTCCTTCTTCAGAATCTTCCAGGAGGGAGTCAGAGTCCCTCTGTTACAGTGGTCCCTAAACTTTAGGCCTCTGGATGTTTTGGACTTCAGCTCCCACAGTTCCTGGTTGTTAGCCAACCTGGGTGAGGCTTCTGGGAGTTGAAGTCCAAAACAGCTGGAGGACCAACGTTTGGGAACCACGGCTATAGTGAGAGAAAGGCAAGGTATAAGTTAATAATAACAACATCCTGAAAGCCCTTCTTCCGGGTTCTCTGTAGAGCCGCTCTAGGAATATCCACGCGCATGCGCACATGGCATTCCTAAAAGGGGCGGGTCCAAGGCCGCAGGTCTTTCTTCAGAACCCTCCAGAACTATGCTGAGAGAAAGGCAGGATATATGTAATTAAGTAAATAAAATAATAATAACAACCTCTGCATAGTTTGGGAACCACGGCTATATTGGGAGAAAGACAAGAGATAAGTAAAGGTAGTAACAATAATGACAATGACGACATCTTGAAAGCACCTCCTTCCGGGTTCTCTGTAACGCCGCTCTAGGAATACCCATGCGCATGCGTACACGCTATCCCCGAAAGTGGAGGAGGCCTAGGCCTCAAAAGTGACACATCCTGCCGGGAAGAGGGAGAAGGAGACTCGCAGCTCTTTCGTCACGGTTCGCTAAGTGGGGACCGATTTCGGCTTGGCGGCCCTTGTTGGGAAAATTGGGGCAATTTCCGGGTTTCCCGCGGGGCCGCTCTAGGAGTATCCACGCGCATGCGCACACGCATTCCCGGAAGGGGCGGTTCCGAGGCCGCGCCACAGTGACAGGCGGAGGGAGGGCTGCTGGGTCCAAGGAGTAGACCGGGTCCTTTCTTCATCCCAGCGGG